AAGCATCTCACTACTAAGGACACCAATAAGAAGAAACTTGCTTGGGCCAAGAAACACGAGCAATGGACATTAGACCGGTGGAAATCTGTCCTTTGGTCTGATGAGTCCAAATGTGAGATTTTTGGTTCCAACCACCGTGTCTTTGTGAGACGCAGAGTAGGTGAACGGATGATCTCTGCATGTGTGGTTCCCACCGTGAAGCATGGAGGAGGAGGTGTGGGGGTGCTTTGCTGGTGATACTGTGATTTATTTAGAATTCAAGGCACACTTAACCAGCATGGCTACCACAGCATTCTGCAGCGATACGCCATCCCATCTGGTTTGGGCTTAGTGGGAATATCATTTGTTTTTCAACAGGACAATGACCCAACACACCTCCAGGCTGTGTAAGGGCTATTTGACCAATAAGGAGAGTGATGGAGTGCTGCATCAGATGACCTGGCCTCCACAATCCACCGACCTCAACCCAATTGAGATGGTTTGGGATGAGTCGGACGGCAGAGTGAAGGAAAAGCAGCCAACAAGTGCTCAGCATATGTGCGAACTCCTTCAAGACTATTGGAAAAGCATTCCAGTTGAAGTTGGTTGAGAGAATGCCAAGAGTGTGCAAAGCAGTCATAAAGGCAAATGGTGGCTATTTGAAGAATCTCAAATATAAAATATATTTTGATTGGTTTAACACTTTTTTGGTTACTACATGATTCCATATGTGTTATTTCATAGTTTTGATGTCTTCACTATTATTCTACAATGTAGAAAATAGTAAAACTAAAGAAAAACCCCTGAATGAGTAGGTGTGTCCAAACTTTTGACTGGTACTGTACATATTACCTCAATTACCTGGACTAACCTGCTACTGTTATTTTTACTGTTATTTTACTGCTTTTATTTTTTACTTATCTATTGTTTACTTAACACTTATTTTCCTTAAAACTGCATTGTTGGTTAAGGGCTTGTAAGTAAGCTTTTCACTGTAAGGTCTACAGCTGTTGTATTCAGCACATGTGACAAATAACATTTGATTTGATTTGCTCTCACCCTGGAAACTTCAATCTGGCTCACTCGCACAGGACCTTTCTGATCCCCAGCAACATGGCCACCCCCACAATGAAACACTCCAATTTTTCCACCAACACTACACATTCCTTTGTCCCATGCCCTCATGCACACTTCTCACACCTCAAAATCTCCCTCCTACATACTGCTGCAATATGACCATAAACTTGGCACCTGAAACACCGTTGTGGGTTTGGAACAAAAACTTTCAAGGGATAACTTATATACCCTTGTATGACTTTATCCGGCAAACACTCTGCATCAAAACTCAGAAGGACAGACAGGGTCTCAGTCTCGCGTTCGCAACTGGGTCTGCGTCGCACCAAACAGCATGCAAATAGACTGATCATTTCTTTGTCAGTGGGCAAACGTACAAAATCAGCAGGGGATCAAATACTTTTTTCCCTCACTGTATATGTATTTATATGTGTATGTATGTATGTGTATATATATATATATATATATATATATATATATATATATATATATATGCGAGAAGAAAAACATATGGGGGATTGGAAGTGATGCAGACAATTACATTGATGGAAGTTACAATCTATCTGCAATATTAAAGCTGATCTACCCCCCAAAAAAATAAAAAAAATAAATACAATTAAAATAAAGTCAGGAGTTCCCAAACTTTTTCACTCGGGCCCCATTCCCCTGCGTGCGCACATGTGCCACGTCTATTTCTATGGGCACAAGCACTGTTCATGACACAAACTGTTCACACCCCTCTTGTTGGTGGAGAGAATTTTGCAGGTTTAAAGCTTATTTCCTGCAATTATACAATTTTTTTCATGGGGTGCAAAGAAAATGTTGCCATTTATTTTAGTATTTTTTGTTGTTGTTGTATTTTACCCCCTTTTTCGATCTTGTCTCATCGCTGCAAGTCCCCAACGGGCTCGGGAGGCGAAGGTCGAGTCATGCGTCCTCTGAAACATGACCTGCCAAACTGCACTTCTTAACACCCGCCCGCACCAATGTGTCGGAGGAAACACTGTCCAACTGACAACCGAGATCAGCCTGCAGGCGCCCAGCCCACCACAAGGAGTCGCTAGAGCGCGATGAGCCAAGTAAAGCCCCCCCGGCCAAACCTTCCCCTAACCCGGACGCTGGGCCAATTGCGTGGCGCCCTATGGAACCTCCGATCACAGCCGTTTGTGATACAGCCTGATATCGAACCCAGGTCTGTAGTGACGCCTCTAGCACTGCGATGCAGTGCCTTATACCGCTGCGCCACTCGGGAGGCCCAAATGTTGCCATTTTAAAGCTAATCTTCTTGCAATTCTATACATTTTGCCATGTCTAATGTGTATTCATGTAATATTTGAGTGACAAAAAAATTACAACAAAATCTATGGGCTAAAAAAATAAAATAAAAAGGGCTAGTTGATCTAGACATTTCTGACAAGTTATAAATAGCTCTCTAAAGTATGCAATGACTAACATGACAAGAGGAACTGATTATACACTGCCCAATTTCAAAATTTCACCTTGTGCATTCTACTATTACAACTTTCAAGAGTAAGTTTAAAGCCGGACTGAGTTCCCCCGACCCCTTGCCCCACAGTTTGGGAACCCCTGCTCTAAGTAACCTGAGGTCACCCTCACAGGTTCTGTCACTCTCCACATCTCCTGCTGGGTGTGCCCAAGTCCATAATCAATGCCAACCACCCACAGTTAATATCAGTCAAATTATCATCCTACCCGAC